AAAAAAAAAAAAAAAAAAAAATTAGTGGGGGGACATGGATTAAAGTGTTTGGTTTTTCCTTCAAGTAAATGAGTTGAGGGAGAAACTGATAATAGGAAAAAGAAAGATCTGCAGTAGGCGCTAAAGATCCAACCTGTTGGCCAGCACCAATAGCTCACATTTGTTATCCTAGCACTTTGTGAGGCCGAGGTGAGATGACTGCTTGAGGCCATGAGTTTGAGACCCTTCTCCTACTAAAAATATATAAAATTAGCTGGGCATGGTAGCACGGGGCTGTAATTCTAGCTACTTGTTAGGCTGAGGAAGGAAGATCGCTTGAACATAGATGTTGCTGTGAGCTATGATGAGGCCACTGCACTCTACTCCCAGCAACAGACACCCCGTCTCAAAAAAAAAAACCCAAAACAAACAAAAAAAGTGCTGAGCAGGCTTGGATTCCTGTCTTAGGCCTTCTAACCGGTTTACAAATGCATAGGCCATAACTGCCCGAGATGTCATGCAGAGCCTGGTGGGCAATGACCCTCAACCCCAGGCCTCCCTTCAATCCTTGGGACGCTTCCCCGAGGTGGGGCTCTTCCACCTCACGACCTGGCCTCTCTGCAGACTGCAAGTTCACCTGCCACTACCGTTGCCGTGCGCTCGTCTGCCTGGACTGCTGCGGGCCCCGGGACCTGGGCTGGGAACCCGCACTGGAGCGGGACACGAACGTGGTGAGCCGGGAGCCAGGGGTTTATGGGCGGGGCGAGGGCGGGCGGGCGCCGTACGCAACGAGTGTTCTAGGAGCCGATTTCCTGGCAGGAGAGAGTAGTTAATTCTGCGCGCAAGCTCGGGCCGGGGAAGTTGGAACTGGGTGGACCCTACAGGCCCCCAAAGTCAAACTCTGAGGGGGCTGGCCCAGACTCTGCGCACGCGCATTTCCCGGACCTTCCCGCCCCTGCTTCCGTTCCTGTGGCGACATTGGATCCCTCGCGCGAGCACTCTGTCAAGTTCCCTATGGGAAGTAGGGCCTGGCAGTTGAGCTGCCTGGGCGATGAGGTCATTTCTGGAGGTGAAGCTGTGCGGCCCCGCCTCTCGAAGTTCCTTCGCCAATGAGACAAGAGCTAGAACCCGGCTGTCTACGTTTCAGTCTTAACGGTCGTGCTGCGGCCCTAGCCGGAGCGCACGCGCACACTGATACGCGCGTACTCACGCGAGCCCAGGCCCGTGGTTGGAGACTGCATACGCACGGGATAGGGGCACCGGGCGGGCGCTGCTATGGGCGAGGCGGAGACGCCTTCTTTCGAGATGACCTGGAGCAGCACAACAAGCAGTGGCTACTGTAGCCAAGAGGACTCAGACTCCGAACTCGAGCAGTACTTCACCGCGCGTACCTCGCTGGCGCGCAGGCCGCGCCGGGACCAGGTGGGAACCCCGGTTGCTGGAGGTGGGCGGGGGGCGATCACTGGATCACCTTCCCTGGTAAGTTGCCATTTCGAAAATTTGTGAACAACCCCACCCTCCCCAGTCAACGTGGCTCCCTGATGGTCCCTGCCGGGGCGGTGGACGGCCGGAACCGTGTTTAAAACCCTGATTCCAATGCCTCGGTACTGGGTGTCGCGACTTCTTGCGCTCCCTGGTACGGACCGGTTGAACCAGAGGAAGCAGCTTTGTACCTTGTGGTAGACGGGAGACAGGCATTATCCTCCTATGACTAAACCGACTTACCAATCTGGGGTAGCATCTTAATCTCCGTGTTGGGACGTTCCCACTCCCTCTCTGGGGAAACTAAAGAAGGAAGTGGAGAGGGAGTAGTCGTTGCTAGTAATGAGAAGAATGTTTAGGACAGAGAGGCTAAGAAGATCCTGCCTCTGCAATATGCAGTCTTGGATGGACCCAGTTGAGTCTCCACCTCTAGCCAGTCGTGGCCTGTTTCCAGCTGCTAAAATTCGGAAGATTCTGATCTTCCCTTTAGGATCCACCTGGAGAAAGGGGATTTGGGAATGGATAGGAAGGAAGCTTTGTTTGGGGTTGTAAGTATTCAGGAGCACTTTACCGACAAGAAGGAAGGGGACGACTAGATTGTAAAATGCCATGAGAAGGGTGGAAAGGGATGGGGGTTACCAGTCCAGTACTATAAGGTGTGCTAGGACAACTGAACCTCAGAGTCTCTTAAGTGTCCACATTATTAGAGAACTCTGTGGTAGGTGCCACAGGTGACCACTGGACTCAGATAACTGTTCCCAGGCCAGTATACCCTGAGGAGTACCTAAACCAGCGTATCCAGAATGAGAGACAGGAATTGTGAAGCTCAGAATACCTGGCAGCATTGGGGCAGAACGACTTATTTGAACCAAGAAAATGGAGTTGTGGAAGATGCTTTAGATGAAATTTTACCCCCCCAAAATTTTTTTTTTGCAAAAGGAGTGGCTTTAGTACCCCATAATCTCAGCCTAGAGCTTGGGTGAAAGGTTAGAGCGTGGACCCCTGGAATTGTCTCCCTGTGACTCAGACCTGAGCTGTTTTTCCATTTTGGAAAGGTGGGAAAACCACAAGATACTAACCAATTGAAAAGGAGGCTGAGAAATCCCAAGTCATATGTAAAATAAAACCAATGGCAGTGATAGAGTGGAGGGTGAGTCCCTGTGATGCAGGAAAAGGGAAAAACTCATTCCTCTTCTAGAATTTAGGCTGTCTAATGCAAGTCCCCTTCTTTTACGAATGGAGATACTGAAGGAGATTCACCTAGAGAAAGGAAAGGGCTGGAACTAAGCTTACTTAACTGTATGAGTCCAGGGTTCCTGGATAATCCAAGAAGAGAAGAGGAAGGAGCAAGTTTTCTCATTCACAGGTTGGCGATCAGTAACCACATCATAAGGAATAAGTTAGAACTATTCATATGCCCTCCTGTAAAGAAAATGCTCTTCCTGCTTGCTCTGGCACTAGCATCTGTCCAGCATTCCTCCTGGCCCTAACACTCCTCCTAACCGGATACTCCTTCCCACTGAGGCACTCCTTCCTGTCCCAAGGCCTTTTCTTGGGCCTGAACAAACAACATCTACCCTTTATTCCCAGCCTCCAGCCCTCATTTTGCCTCCAGATCCCTCATTTTCTATGGCCCTCACAGTTTGTTCTTATTATCCTAACAGGATTGTCTGCTGACCCCAACAGGGTTTCACTCCTCAGTGCTCTCTTCTATTCAGGAAACCTTTGGAAAGTTGGAAAAGCAAATGAACTTCAGTTCCCACCCTTCCCCCAATACCTTTTTCATGTAAGGTTCTGGCCTTAGTTCTCAATCCATATATAGTACTTGCTGGCCACTGAACAACAGCTTTCTGGGTAAGGAGCCTAATGCTGAAAGGCTGTGGGCTCCACTCTGTTCTCTTATCTGTTTTCCCCATTCATCCCCACAAATGGTTTAAGCAGCCTAGAGGGCTCCAAAGTGGCAGTGAAGAAGAACCCTGGCTCTCCTAGATTCAGAGCTGGGCACAAGATAATTCTACTGGAAACTTTGTGGGAATTCCCCTAGGACAAGGCATTGGTTGGCGGTGATCCCAGCTGTGTCTGTGACACTCCCATTCCAACTGGGCTTATCTTACATCAAAGGAAGTAAGGTTGATACAGGGGGGCCAAGAGAGTTTGGTAGAAGAAAAGTTGAAGAGAGCTGGATTGGGCTCAGCGCCTATAGCTCAACCGGCTAGGGCGCCAGCCACGTACACCTAAGGTGGCGGGTTCATATCCCCAGCCCGGACCCGCCAAACAACAATGACGGCTGCAACCAAAAAAT